GTCGATCATGATTGGCCATTTTACATATAGAGAGGAATATGCCAACTATTTTCATTTTATCAAAGAGAGATATAAAGATATTCTTTACTTTTTCAGTTTTCACATTCATTTTGTTTATGTATCTAGTCCTAATTATGGAGGATATATTTTTGGGGTAATTTATTCGATGTAAGAGTATTTTTTTCTAAAATGAAAGAGAAATCCAAAATCTTGGAACCTGAAAAGAAGAGGAAAATGGGTGGTTTAAAGAAGGCAGCTAAAAGAAGGAAAAGCAAAGAAACAGAAGATATGGAATATGAACTGTTTTGGCGGTGGCATCAATGTTCACTTGGAGTTTGATCATGGTCATGGACCTACGTCCTTCTCGTCTCCTCTCTATTCTCTTTATTTCTTTTTAATCACTCATTTATTGTGATGATGATTTATAGCCATCTATAGTGACTATTAGACTCTACTAAACAATAATCACATTACCAATCTTGCTGGTTTGGTCGTGAGTCAATTTTGGTAAATATCAAGATTTTTTTTTTTTTGGGGTCAAGATTTGGAGGAGGTGAGATCAACATAAACAGAAATGGGTTTCCGTGTAACAAAATAGCAATGAGAAAAAGTAAAATTTCTATTACTTTTTTTTTTGTTTTTGTCATCTATGTTATATAATGATCAAGTAGAGTTCAACCAAGATACAAGATACAAAAACTACAACAACAAAAGCGAAAAGGTCTATAGAGACAAAGATTTTCAGCGATACAAAACCTTGTCCTCAGGAGACATACATGCTAACACAAAGAAGATAAGGTATTTGATTAAGGAGGAAAGCCAAGAAGTAACCCCAAGCTCAAGCCACAAAACCAATAAAACACCCACACACTTAACCAAGGATCGTGAAGAAGCCAAATCTGAGCCAAAAAACATAAGATGGAACAGAACCTAAACCTTGAAGCACACCCATGCACCTGGAGAACCCCAACGCGGCTCTAAGACTCACTTAACAAGCATACAGAAGAGGCGAGCAAGAACACAGGGAGATAAAGGCAACATAGCACATAACCAACGTCGAGTAGCCTTAACCTTAGAAACCGGGAAACAGAGGAGACAACGATGCCAAGACAATAAAAACCTGACCACCGAGTCTAATCGAGAACACCAAAACAACTTCTGAGACCAACCAAACACATAGACCACAAACAAACGCCTTGGACCAACAAAAAGCACATCTCCTCACCCAAAGAACCCTACCTCACACAAACCATACAAAAGACAAACCACAGTACTCCACAATTAGAGCACCAATGAATCAATGATATCACAAACAAAAGCTAGAGAGAGTTCGAATATACTCGATGAAACATAGGCAGAAGAAACCGAATGCACACAGCTTCATCAAGCCACCACAAACCTCCAAAGGGCCGACGAGAGAAGATCAAAGAGAAACCGGCACGAGATCTCGAAACCAACCAAAAAGGCGACCACAGATCAATCATGAGCAGCTCTCGACCAAACTCCGAACCATCGACTCCACAAACCAAACCCAGCCCAAGCCAACTCGAAGCCCTCACTAAACCTTGCAAATCTCAAGAACCGAAACTACATCTAGCCATAAGAGCCCACAACTAAACTAATACAACCCAAATAGAACTCTAAAGACTTAAAATAAGGATCCGGTACCGACGCTATGGAAGCCGCCGGCCACCGGACCGAGATCAAAAAATTTTTTTGAAACTTGAACAGTAGATAGCGGCTGCTTAGGTTTCTCCGCGGAAGGTCACTCAGCTCTCGAACAAAAGTGTGTTTATAAAATTTCTATTACTTAATTTCTTATTTTTAGTTTTTTACCTTTAACTTAAACTCATATTTAATAAATTACACGTTACATAAATACGTAACATATTACGGAAACTGTATA